TCACTGAAATGCATTTATTTTTCTATTGCTCAACTTAGCTGGGGTAGGCTGAGCAGCCTAATAAACTTTAGACAATATTTTCTTAAACAAATCGAAAAAAGTTTTTTTGTCTCAACCATTTTTTAGCAGATCAAATTATCTTTCTAATAGTGAAAAAATCATATTAATCGGATGTACCGTTCAAGAGATCTGTTAGATTTAGTAAAAATTGCCTACCCCCGCCCTACCCTACCGTGCTTTAGTTGCATTGAGTAGTTCAATTCAATTGTTAAAATTGTTTTTTTTTTCTATTTATATAATTTGCTTTCTATAAATTTTCTATAGAAAGTCATATAAGAAATAAGATAACTTTAATGTTGAGTCCCGCAAGGATTGTAAAAGTTTTTTGAATATGCAGTATGAGCCGTTGCACTATGGTTTCTGAGACTCGTTTTTTGGCAGAAACCCTTTTTTTTAAGTATTAAAAAAGATTTTTTTTATGGGTATCTTAAAGTAAAACCATCAAAGTGATAATAAGCATGGTCTATTTTTAAATTAATAGCTCAGTTTGTTTGAAATATGCACTCCATTTAGTATACAACTTAGTATACAGTGAGTTAGCGTAAAGTGAGCTGTTAACCTAATATTACATAACTTTTAAAATAATTAATATTTTCGATTGCAGTAAAATGAAATTATTTTTATTCAGATTTATATCTTTTTTAAATATTTGATTAAATTAAAATGTTGCATTATTATATTATTTATGTAACAAGGGTTGAGTTAACGCATCGCGATTTGCGATATCTGTTAAATTATCTGGTCTTCAAAGTCTCAGTTTATGGAAAACCACGAAATTTACGGAATAGGCAAATAAACTTTAATTTGTTAGTGAAAATGTTATGAAAAACAAAACAATAAATTTATGACTGCAAAAGTAATAATACTACAGTGTTGTTACTTTTTTAACACTCTTTTATGTTACATTTATAGTTTATTGTTTGATTAAACCCTCCCCCGCAGTTTCGCCACTGAGAGTAGTACTGACATTTACTTAAAACTAAAAACAGAGGTGTTCAATTTAATAAATTTTAGTTATAAAGAAGTATATTTAGAAATATATTTTTTTGTCTTTACTTTTATTATGATTTAATTGATTAAATAATAAAACAAAATTTAAGTTTATAGCCTCCTCCCCCCCCTCCCTTTTTAATATAGATTTTTCCTAAGAAGTAAATTACCAGTTTTTTTATTGGTTGATTTTAAAGTGAACGCGCGTTTTTTCCGGACCGTTAGTAAGATGTTTAAAAATGCTAAACTGTTTATAAATATATGTATTCGTAAAAGTTGCTGAGGTTTTTAACATTGTTTAAATATCCATTGTATTTTTTCAAGATGCATTACTACTTTAATTAAAGTTTGGAATTACTTAACTAAATCATTTTTATTTATAATATCTTGATTATGTGTTGTTTGATCAAACAATAAACTATAAATGTAACATAAAAGAGTGTTATAAAAGTAACAACACTGTAGTATTAATACTTTTGTAGTCATAAATTTAATGTTTTGTTTTTCATAACATTTTCACAAGCAAATTAAAGTTTATTCGCCTATTCCGTAAATTTCGTGGTTTTCCATAAACTGAAACTTTGAAGACCAGATAATTTAACAGATATCGCAAATCGCGATGCGTTAATTCAACCCTTGTGTAAAAACAATAAGCGCATTTCATTACTTTTTTCAAAACTTTAAGACTTTTAAAAAAAACTTCGTGTTTTAAAAAATTCTCCGCAAAAATATTTTTGCATCATTAAATTTTGTTAGATTTCAGAAATATATTCTAGTTTTTAAAACTTCCCCCTAGTTGCCCTAATTAAAAATATATCTATTTGCTTGCAGTGATGTACCGCTTCAAATGCGAAGATTTATTCAATGTATGGCTGGAAAAGAAAGATAAAAATGAGAAAAACTCAAATGTTTTTGAGCACGTCATTCCAATAGCTGGAAATGATGTAGCAGTAGTTATAACCAATAATATTCAAAAGAAAATATATCGTTTGTGCAACTCTTTTGGAAGAAAATGGTCAGATAGTCAAAGAACAACGGACTGATTTAAAACTAAAAATTCAGATTGGTTGAAAAGAGAAATTACATTTACTGATGATGCAATTCCATCAACATCTTTTTGTCAGTCCATTCCATCTTCTGGACGACCAAGTTTATCATATACCAAAAATTCAGATCGGGCTAAGAGATTGGAATGGTCAAAGTTATGTCGAGATAATATTCATATAAACAAAATTTTGATACTGCTGGCTGTCATTCTGATTCAAATTTATTTTTGACAACTTTTGTACCACTCCGTTTGAACTCAGAAGATAATAAAATTTTATGGAACAATCACTGCTCAATATGTACGGTTTCGTAGACTATTTAAAATTGAATACATAAAGGCATCCACAGAAAACATTTTAGGTACAAAAAATACAACAACTGCTCTTTGAAAAATACACCTTTACGTGGATATACTAAAAGTAGGAACTACCAATGACGGCAATACTCCACGCCCAGCATTTCAAAATATTGAAAAATTTTCCGAAATAACTAATGTGGATAAAGAGTTGATTAAAAAGTTTAAAATTATTTTTATTTCCATCTCTTGCTAGTATAAAATTAATTTAGATAAATTTGAAAAATTTTGTTTCGAGACAGCAAAACATTAAATCTAAATATCCTTGGTATCCGATGCTTGCAACTGTACACAAAGTTTTAGTACATACGAAAAAAATTCTAGAAAATACAGTACTACCAATTGGTTATTTTGGTGAAGAAGCGTCTGAAGCAAGACATACAGTATTGTACAAAACATTTGCAACCAACACCGAACAATGCTAAAAAGTGTTCCTAATTTTACATGTCTTAAAAACGAACGAACCATACTACCACATTAAACAGTTCAGGAGTCTTTCGTCATAGCATGCCATGACATGAGCAATCAGCTGACAGTTTCGTTGACAAGTGCCATTTTGCAGCGGACAAAACAAGTGCAACTTTTTTGGTTTGTTTCATTTTCCTAAGTCTGGTCCGTGTCAACGTCACGGAAGTTTTTTAATAATTAAAAGAAGGATCCAGAAGTTTCCAGAAGCATGCAAAAGCTTCCAGAAGTTTCCAGAAGACGCATCTGGAAGCATCCAGAAGGAACCAGAAACATTCAGAAGCATCTAGACGCATCCAGAAGCATCGAAAAGTAGCATCTAGAATCTTCCAGAACAGGTTCGCACAGGTTCATTTTACTATATAAAAGATATAAACCGACATGAAATACAGTCAGTATATGGAAGTCAATCAGTCAGTATTATCAAGACTGTTTATCGAAGTGAGTTTTATCAAAGTATTGTATCGAAGAACATCAATACAAGAAGTGAAATACAACAAGTGTTTCATTACATCAATACAGTCCACATCCAACCGAGACGTTGTGTTCCACAGACCATTATTTTATCATCACAAGGTAAATGTAACATGGTAAGCCTTAAGAAACGTGATTATTTATTTTTATTACTTTTATGACTTCAAGTGCAAAAATGGCTCCCGACAGTCTTGGATTGGAACTAAGAAAGAAAATTATTGGCGATAACGTAAGTGGAATGTCACAAAAAAGTATTTGTGATAAATATCGCGTGAAAAAATTGGACTGTATCAAGATTATGTTTCAAATATCGTTCTACGGGGAAGTTGGCAGCAGATAACAAAGGTGGAAGACTGCGTTCCACCACTTCTAGAGAAGATTCTATGATTGTCTAATCCGTCAAGAAGGATCCCTGGATATCATCATTTGAGATACAAAAGTAATTAGAGCTGCCTCTATCGGACTAAACAATCAGACGACGTGCTGCTGAAGCCGGATTGTTTTCTCGACGCCCTGCAAAGAAACCGCTGATTTTACTAAAGAACCAGAAGAAAAGACTCATGTTTGGTACATCTCATATTGACTGGAATGTGCAAAAATGGCGAACTGTCCTGTTCAATGATGAATCGAAGTTCAACACCATTGGGAGTGATGGCATTTGCCGTGTACGTCGACCGGTCAGAAAACGCCTCGATTTACGTTACTGCCATAAGACCGTGAAGCATGGTGGAGGCAATGTCTGGGGGATGTTTTTCTGCTAACGTTCTAGGTCCAATACAACGAATCGATGGAATAATGGGAACGTTTCATGTATAAAAATATCCTGAAAGATGTTGTTATCTCGTGCTGAATGGAACATGCCAATAAAATGGGTTTTTCAGCAAGACAACGATCCGAAACACACTGCAAAAGTAGTCAAGCAGTGTTTCAAGACAACCACCTATCGGTGATGGATTGGCCGCCTTAATCTCCAGATATCAACCCTATCGAGAAACTGTGGGAGATCGTCAACCGCAGAATTAATCGTGAAGGTGTTCGTAATAAGGATCAACTGTTTGAACAAATCCAAAAGGCCTGGCCAGCGATTCCACAAAGTTTTATTGATCACTTGATCGAATCTATGTTTCGAAGATGCAAGGCTGTGATCGACAACAAAGGATTCGCCACGACATATTAATAGCGAAATACAGCTTGGTCAACATTTTGTGGAGTTTCACTTATTTTGTCCAGAAGGAAATCAACTTTTTTTAAATACTTTTGATTAATTTATTAATTTTCGTGTACAAATAATGAACTTTGTGATGAATAAAACTTGAAGAACGTTGTCTTTAAACAGTTACATAGTTATTTCTCTAAATTGAAAAAATGCTTTTATATAAAGAAACTAAATTAGCATTATTTGGTTGCACTTGCTTTGTCCGATACTGTATAATCTTAAGAAATAAAAATCATTAATTATTTTGTGTTTATATTGAAATTATTAATTTATGCTAAATAATCGGGTCTCAGAAACCATAGTGCTTTGTAAGCAGGTTATTACCTTACGAAGCAGGTCCTTACCTATATCCAGGTTGAGTAACATCTTATCAGTATTTGTTAAACAAACTAGTTTTTACAATTTTACAATTCATAATATAACTTCCACAAATTATTATGTCGTATTGTAGTTATGGTTTTTTTTGGCACCAACTGCTTGTGTCATTAGAGCTTATATCCGCTATCAATGTTTAATCTTGCAAGCATGCAGCTAATATTTTTTTCTTTTTTCATTTTCTCTTCTGAATATAATTTATATGCTTCAAATTTCTAAAAAAATAATGTTACTTGAACATGTTAAATAAATAATTAAAATATATATAACACACATTAGTTACTTTTTTTATATGCTTATAAACTTTTAAAAAAAACATACGAATTATATAATATTAAATATATATTATAACATAACAAAACATATGACGTTTGTACATCGGTACCTATGTCATATCTAGAAAAAAATTAAAAAAAAAAAAAAATGATTTTTGTATATAGGTACAATTTAGCAATTTATTTAGCAATTTATGTAGCAATTTATTTTTATTTATTTTTGTATATTGGAACCTATGTACCATTTTTTTGACGCAAAATAATTAAAAATCAAGTAGTTATTTTTTCATCAAGTCGTTAATTTATTGACCACCAGGGATCACTAGCAATTACTTACCAACTATTTTCAACACCTTAGCTGTCTGTATCTCTCTATTCAAAAAAAGGTCAATGGACATCGCATACGTTAATTCTAGGCCGTAATGCATGACTTATTCACGCCAATTAGTATTGATATTAAGTATTTGGCTGCTCACTGCAGTGTCTAAGACTTTGACCAGGACAGTCAAATTGGGAAGTTACAAATCTCGGGAATGCTATAGTAGACTTCGAGTGACGTCTTCAGCAACTGCAGGCTTATCCGAAGAACTGCGGTTTGCTTTTATTTTGGTTTTGTTTGCTGCGGTTTTTCCAATCGAAACCATTACTTCCATATCAATCAGCAAAACAATTCTCTAGAAAACAGAGGTCTGTTTACTATTGCTAGAAATCATTGTAAAAAAGATTTGTCTAACTGAAAATAGCTGGCTTTGGCCCGCTATTCTCAGGCCATAAAATCTCGTATTTCATCTAAAAAAATAGGCTCTCGTGACTTCTGGAGAATCTTTAAAAATCATCAATAATAATAATCAATAATAAAGGCAATAAGTATCAATAATAATGGCAAATCTATTATTCCACCTCTCTTATATAGTTTAGATTTTGTCACCTCACCTAAAGACAAAGCTTAATTATTTACTAATAACTTTTCATCAATATCATCTCTCGATTCTACTAGTTGTGCTTTACCTGATATTTTTTTTTTTTTTTTTTTTTATTTGCATTCACTCCCAACAAGGCTGCAAGCAACCACTATTAAGTTTGGAGTTACTAGGAAAAAAAAGAACAGAGTTATAGAGCAAGGAAACGGTTGACAGAAGACTTGAAAAGTTGAAGGTTGTATGAGTCAGGAAAACATGAAGATGGGAAAGAGTTCTAAAGGATTGAAGTGCGGGGAAAAAAACTAGATGAATAAAAGTTATTAGAGCATGCAGGGACAGATACAGTAAACGAATGAGACTTAGCTGAATGACGAGTAAAACGAGAATGAATTTTAGTTGATGGAACTAGAGATGATAACTCCTTTGAGCAGTGACCATGAAAGTATTTGTAGAAAAGAGAAAGAGATGCAACTTTACGACGATGGGAAAGAGTTTCAAGCTTAGCAGATAGTCCAGGTCCAACAACATTTACAATGCGTTTTTGGACCTTGTCAAGAAGAGAAAGTGAATCGTTAGAAGAACCAGCCCAAATATGACAGCAGTATTCCATACAGGGACGAATAAGAGATTTGTAGAGGTAGAGAATGGAATCAGAAGTAAGGAAATGGCGAGCACGATAAAGAGAAGCAACCTTAGCAGAAGCTAATTTAGCAATCGATTGTATATATGCTTTCCATGAAAGGTCAGTAGTAAGCGATAATCCAAGAAGACGTAAAGAGGACGACTCAGTAAGAGGATTGCCATTCATTAATATAGGAATGTTGATCATATTACGGTAGTTGTTTGCAGTAAGCAATTGGGTTTTTTTAGAGTTGAAATTCACAAGCCACTGTGAACCCCAATCTATTACTGAAGTGAGATCAGATTCAAGATCAGCTGCTTGTTCTAGGCGATCGAAAAGAGAAGACTTTTTGTCAAGACACGAGTATAAAGTTGAGTCATCAGCAAAAAGAGCTACTTTAGATGAAAGGTTGTCAGGAAGATCGTTTATGTAGATAAGAAACAAAACAGGGCCCAGGATGGAACCTTAGGGAACCCCAGAAGTTACTGGAAATAAAGAAGAGTGTTGGCCTTCAAGGATGACTTTAATAAACCGGTTAGAAAGAAATGATTTGATAATCTCAAAAACTTTCCCAGAAACACCATATGAAGCAAGCTTATGGAGAAGACCAGCATGCCAAACTTTGTCGAAAGCTTTAGATATGTCGAGAGAAATAGCCCTAGCCTCACCGCCTCCATCTATTGCACGATAAAATCTTTCAGTTACAGCAGTTAGCAAGTCGGCCGTAGAGCGAGAGGATCGAAAACCGTATTGATTGTCTGACAGTAGTTTATTTGACTCAAGATGAGATGTGAGGAATTTGTTGATCAAAGACTCAAAGACCTTGCTAATAACAGAAAGAAGACTGATCGGACGATAATTGGAGGGGTCAGAATTTTCTCCAGAGTTTTTGAATATTGGAACTACAGATGCCATTTTCCAACAAGCAGGAAAACAAGACTCAGTCAAACACTTGTTAAATAGTTTAGAGAGAATTGAAGAAAGTTCTGGAGAACAATTCTGCAAGACTGTGACAGGAATGTTGTCTGGACCACAAGATGTAGACGAGTTTAATTGAGATATGACTTTTGCAACAGAAGCCGGAGTGATTTGAATGTCTAACAATGGGTCAACCTGTTTGACTGGAATGGAAGGAAGAGAATGTCCATAAGATTCAAGAGTGGAATTAGAAGAAAAGTTCTTTGCAAATAGTTCTGCCTTATCCTTGGGAGAGGTAATAAGATCAGTCCCATGAATGAGAGATAAAGCCGACAAAATGAGAGATGAATGAGAAGATGAGAGAATGACAAAATGAGAGATGAATGAGAGATGAAGCCGACAAAACAGGTTGATCCATTGCTTGACATTCATACCACTCCAGCTTCTGTATCTTAAGTGATTTCCTGTTTAGATTCTTTTACAGCTTGTGGTGCGAACAACATACCTATTATAGTTTTGCAGAAGTGCTCTCCGGAGCTTTAAAATCAATACAATACTCACGAGCAAAAAATTGTCTTAACATTGGAAGTTTAACTTTCAAAAGATCTGTGGCATTCTCATTGTATATTTTATGCAATTTTTTAATACTTTGTCCCACCATCAAAAATAATTTTGAATTTCCCATATCTGTTTTCCTTCCTTTGAAGTTAATCAACAAATTTTCTAACATTATCTTATTTTACTGACTCAAATGACTAATTATATCTCCTTTACTCTCTTTAATTCATTGTCCTTTGAAGTGTTGGCAAAATAAATAAGATTTAGCAGGGGTTGATAGCCAGGGTAAAAAAAAAATTTTAATAATTTATTTATTATAAATTTATGCATATATTTACAAAACTGTTACAAAAGAGAGATCAGATTAAAGATCAGCTTATTCTATTCTAATTAAAAAGTTGACACTTTTTGTCAAGGCAAGAGTATAAAGTTGAGTTTTCAGCAAATAGAGCGATTTGAGATGTAAGGTTGTTAGGTAGAATAATGTAGATAAAAAACAAAACAGGACCAAGGATAGAACCTTGAGGTACCCCAGAAGTTACTGGAAATGAAAAAAAGTGTAGGCCTTCAAGTTTGATTTTAATACTGTAGTTAAAAAGAAATAATTTAATAATCTTAAAACTTTTATATGAAGAAACTAATACAAGTATTATGGAAAAATGGAATATTTTTTAATATTGGAACCACTTATTTAACACTCAATATTAGTTTAGCAAGGATTAATTAAAATTCTGAAGATATCTTTTGTAAGACTATGATGGAGATAATATCTGAACCAAAAAATTTTGTGATGCTGTCCTGATGAAGGACAGAACATGGTTTGTTTTTACTAGCACTTTTTTCTTCAACAAAATATTATAGGAAAGTCAAAGAAAAAACACTTGAGTAATTTTTTTTTTGTGACAAAGTTTTGATTGTTAGCTCCTTGTTATTACATTGCTGAAAAATACTCTCTATGGTATAAATATGGCATAGGTCTCACCTATGTCATATTTATAATGAAAAGTAATTTATAAGAAATTTTAAATAAGATAAAGTCGTTATGGAAACCTGTTTAAACCATAGAAAGACACCAAGAATTTTAAACTTAAAAAATAAAAAATTAAATAATAAGTTACCAAAACCATTGCAGCATTCTCCTTTACAAGTTCTTCAACTCTATTGTGCATTTTATTTATCAGGTTTTGAGTTTTCATGACATCAGGTTCATTAAAACTAGAAATAAAAATATTATATACAATATTCCTTTAACATACAAACTATCATCAATACACCTTTTCACAGTTCTGATATAAAATTTATGCGCGCGCAGAAATGGAAGTAAAAACGTAAACAATCATTATTTCAACGGTTTAAGTTATAGAGGTTTATAATGGAAAAAAATATAAATACTGAACCTATACCATATAGTAGTTTCATATATAGAACTTGTGAAACTGCAAATTACCATTTGAGTAAGCATTTGTTATCGATTATCAACACACACACACACACAGATATATAACAATATAAAAACAACTAAAGCTCAGAGAAATATAAAGAAAACTAATTAACCGTTCAACTTCTACATTATTGCGTCATAGTAAATTATTTACCATAAAATATAAAATGAAAGTATGTTCAGACAATTTTTCTGACAGAGCACTACCGTTTAAAAATAAATATTTTTCGATTAACTTAGGATACAATGCTCAAAGATTTATATTATTTAATGTAAATAATACA